CCCCACACCCACACCCACACACCCCACACCCACACCCACACCCACCCACACCCACACCCACACCCACTAAAATGACTAAAGGGATTAAAGGGACTAAAAGGGCTAAAGGGACTAAAGGGACTAAAAGGACTAAAGGGACTAAAGGGAGTACATAGTGTATAGAAAAGTAAAACAGGATAAGAGTAAATTCTCGTGGACCCCTCAAAATATTAAGCGCGTACGTGCGGAAACTTCCATGCGTGAACTCGCGAATAGAGTTTGCTCTCTGACGCGTTCACACGCATGCCATGTCATAACAATACATGTACGCGTACCGATAATGTTGCGTCTACACGTGTTTCTTAAACTTTCGCGTTTGACTGGGTCTCAATAGCATTAAGATCAGAGCTGACAGGTGAATAAACTAGACACAAATTTTAAACCATTGTCCGATATATATTTTGGCATGTCGTGTCGAGTAGACCTCTTTAAATGTAAGCAATCATGATCAATTTGGTTGCTTATCTGAACTTGGAGAAGTACGTATCTAAATAAGTATTGAAAATCAGTCCATTTCTGAAACAAAACTAAGTTTGATTTAATCGCTACATTCGTGGGCGAATATTTGTAAATGAACGCTTCAGTTGTGCTTTGTACATTTTTGACGGTAAAACAAAGATGACAAAGACAAGTAGCGAAGGCGCAAATGAAGTCAAATAACCAATGAGAAGCAGCCATGGATCACGATTGGATTTGATACAATCTGAAACTAATGAAATGATTAGACGAGGTAAAGCAAGTAGAATGAGTGCGATCGGTGAAATTAGGAGATGTTTTTGACGAATCAACTGTTCACGAATATGTCTTTTAAATGAATCCTGTTGTTGAATATGAGAACGTCTTCGAGCGATATTCAAAATGATAATAAAAGATGAAATAATATTCAAAATAAATGGTGTCAGAAAATGAAAAATTTTTATGATAGAATTATAGAATTGTAAAGATGATGAATAACGTACAATACACCATGTACGTTGTTCGTCTTCATCTATAATGAGATGACGATTGATCGGATCATGCAAATTTGATATAGCAATGAAAACAAATAGTAGAACAGTCGTATATTTTGCTACTTTTTTACTTTTTTCTTTATCAAAATTTGCACTTTGCAGAACTGTTACTGCTCGTTCGATAGCTACAGCTGCATTTAGCCAATCACCAAACGTAAGACAAATTTGAAGGACAAAATCGATTGATAGACACTGAATATGAAGAAAAGTTCGGTTTGTAATCCATGTCATTTGTGCAAGAAGAAGAAAACCAAATTTTAACACTAACATAATCATTGTTAAAATGGAGAAAAGAGAAGAAACGAGAAGATAACAACCACAACCAACTTTGTTTGCTTCTTTACCGATAAAGACCAATGTTGAAAGAACACCATTGATAATATTGATGATAAACATGTTGCTGATCAGGATAACACTGAGTTTGATCACAAATATTTGTGTTCGAAAATTTCTATCTGGACGAATCTGATAGCCGAGGATACTATCGAGTGAAAATGATAAACCTCTATTTGAAAATTGACATTTTGAACCATAGAAACAATTAGAACAATGGCAAGTTGATGCTGATGGACATTTGGTATCATCTTGAAAACATTCTCCTCCATTTTCACAATTACCAGAATCACCCTGACAAATATGTTCCATCTTATGATCGAACAAAATGCAGATGGCATAACGCTGATTATTATTATTACATGTACACATATGAGTTTCATCATAAAAACATGATAAATTCGAATATTGTTTACAAGGTATATGATAGTATTTGATACGGCGTACAAGTTTCCATTGCATGAAACTTGAATTAAACAAATTTTTAATTGATAGACATCGATTTTCGGGAAATATATACATCTCGATTTCGGTACTGTTATCTCTTTTAAAATTCATCCAATAATAACCGTTTTCGAATTCACTAAATGCAAGATGAAATTTGTTTACAGTCGTACGAATAATAGCCGAAGACTCATATGGAAGAATTCTTTTAAATGTTTTAATATGTTGATGTTTAGCAAGTTGTTTATCTTGAATTATATGTAAGTAGATTAAAGATGGAATAGATATTATAGGATGAAAATAAATGATTAATTTGGTCAATGGATATTGACAATATTCGCCCCAAAAATCTTTTGGACATAAACATTTTGCAGCAAAAGACGAATGTTTACGCTCATCATTCGGTATACATCGACCTCCATTCAAACATGGCCCAGATCCTTGACAAGGATCGAAATTAATATAACATCGAGGACCAATACGACCGAGGGGACAAACACAAATAGAACTAGGAAAACTTCTGATACATATAGAACTAGGAGCACAAGAACATGTCATCGATGGTTCTTGAGCATATTGACATTGATCTCCAAACCAACCGGGATCACAACGACAAAGTAACATTTTTTTATTCTTTCTTGTAATGGCTATTGTACATGAACCATGTCCATTGCAATCAAGAGAACAAACAATTCCTTGAGCAATTGTTAGACGTGATGGAATAGTTATTTGAATTGTGAGACGATGAACAGGTAGAATATGAACATCAAGTGGATAATACCAGCTAGCTCAATATTCGGACATTATTGCTTCTCGTTTGTAAACATCGATACGAACACTGTAGTTTTTTATCGGATTTTTCGGACGAGATTGATATAGTAAATAAATATTCCATTTCATAGCACAATCCGTACTTGGATTATAATATCGATAATCATATGATTCAATTTCATTTTGATCTGTCATCAGTAGAAAGATAAAAGTGAATATACTTCGCCAATCTGTAGCACTTCTAGTTTGTACAGTTAAACTGACACGTTGATTTTGATATTCACAATGATCTCCATATAGACTCGGTGGACATAGACATCCATATTCAAGGCCCACTAGTGTCCGAACACCTATGCTGACTCCTCGATAACATGATTCTTGTTTGAATTCAACATTTCCAGTAGTGATAATCGGATTCGAATTTGTTGTTTTTTGCTCTCTACTACTTTTATCTGATTGACTTTTTTCTTCAAATGAAAGACTCCATTCTAACGTATGATAATCTTGAATGTCATTTAAACTGCAGAGATGCTTTTGGATAGATGTTAAATTCTTCCATCGGCAAGAATATCTACTTGAAATTGTTTTCGAAAGTTGAGTATCCAGTTTCGTATTACAATTGATCAGACTTGTTATACTAACACACTCACTACGATTCCAACAGTGATAACGATTTGTTTCCTCGAATAGATACATTTGTCGACATAGTTGTCTCTCATCTGATCCTCCCAAACAATCGACAATACCATTGTGAACTTTTTCAATTGATAAACAACTAAGAGTAGTCGTATTTGGTAAAATACATGGATGATGTAATGCTGGACAGACAATAAGAGTATTATTACATGTCAATTCATCTTCACCTCTCGGACAATTCCAAACAGTATTGCAATATGTATAACTATTATTACATGGCCATTGTTCACAATCTGTTTCATCGGTATGATATTGACCATCGATTTTGATGGGATACATTTCTGGAATACCATCACATACAAATTTAAACATGATATTATACAGTAAATAACGACGAATAGGATCAATTTCATCTTCACCATTTTTACAATGAGGAGACCCATCATTAATTACCATTGGTGATAAACACAAATCTTGTTCATCATCATAACATTTCAAACGATGATCGTTAGTTTCATTTAACAAACAAGTATTTTTAAACATTTCGTCATCTTCTAATGGACAATTGATGACTCCATCACGAAGACGAACAGTAGATATACACTTTGAAGAATGATCACATGAATACAATGATGGATGTGGACATTCAATGATGGGCGATGTACAAGCAACTGAGAAACGAAACAAAATAATCTGCAACATTTCATCCCATCCAGGATAGGATGAAAACAAGTCTCCAAACTCATAATCAAAACTAATACATGTCTTGTTCAAAATAGAATAAATTGTAGTATTGGCCAACGTGCAATATTTTTGATCGAAACAAACATACATTGGTGTAATTGAATCCGTTTTTTTATCAGCTCGACTTGTATGATACACCAAATAAATATGACTGAATAGAACAGATGTTGCTGGAAAGAAAAAAAGCTTCGATGGACATCCACGTTTTGCTGCTGAAGCACATGAAATACCAAATTCTTGTCCACAATAACATTGTTGTGATACAAAACCTCGACGTGTCAAACAGTTCATTGGTCGAAGACAATTCTGATCGATAAAGAACCAATCAAAAATAAAATCAGGAAATTCTGCATATAAATGACGGTTATTTCGACATTCACCATGTGGAATAATGCATTGTCCATCGCCACATGCAAATGGTTCCATGCCATGTTCAAGTGGATAACAGGAACTTTCTTCACAACGAAATGTTATATCCGTAGCACAGTGGTTGGCATATTCTGTATGGCCAGGTTCGTCTGTTCGATCCATACAATCCGGATGAGATATGTCATCGTTTAAAAAATCAAGTGGAATGCATTGTCCATTATGACAACGGTATTCGTTTTCATCACATTCGTTTGCTTCCAATAGCCAACAGTCTTTTTCATCTTCACCAGTAGTACAATCATCACGTCCATCGCATATTTCACGCCAATCGAGACAAAGATCTAATGACCGACGATTGCATTGTAGATGAATGTAACACGAATGTGGTGGTGGATACAGTGCAAATAGATATGAATATACTGAATCGATGTATTCGTCCAGTAATATTGGTTTTTGTGAAAGGATATATTGACAATGAGATCCGAACCAAGGCGGTGTGCGATTGTAAAAGATGTATTCTGTTGTTTTTGTTGTCATTAATGATTCCATATGATTATTTTCTGTAATATCATCTAAAAAAGCTTGATAAGTTTCAATCAGATCAATCGATGCAGACCAGTCGAATAGTTGACTACTCGATGTAGACATTTCTTTCAATTGGACGAAAGTGTAATTTGTATAATTGAATGTTGGTATATTAATAAAATCTAAAATCTTTGAAGTTTGATTGCCCGGTCGAAAACAATATGTCATCAATTGATTCAACCGAATATACTCTTCGTTTATGCTTAAAATATCCTTATTAATATCATAATATAAACAGTCATAATTCAGAGATCGTCCGGTTTCATTCTTGTGAATTCTATCGGATGCATCATATAAATTGAATCGATATTTGATATTCGATTGTTTGTCGATGTTAGCAATCGATAATGAAAATAGGAGAATAAAAAAGAAACGAATAAAAGTTAAGAAATACATGAGTATTGCCACAAATCAATTCTAGAAATGATTCACTGCAAGAGACTTCTTTCATCGTCATCAATGTATTTGCCTATCTGACGCACATATGGTTCGATAAATTGAGACAAAACGTGTTTTTTTCAAATCAAATTGCCTACTTGATTGACATTTTAATTAAGTATAAAGTATTCACTTCGGTTCAATTCTATCGGCAGACGGGACATCATATAAAATAAAATCAGTTTATGTATTTGCACATGTAAAGTCGAGTGTATACATACAGCTTTTTTTATATAAAGTTTTATGGAAGAAAAATCAAGGGTAAGAAAAACTCGAATCTGGAGTCACATATTGATACATTTGTCAATCATACCAGTAGATGCATAACTTTATTTTTCTTTCGAATATGAAGAATAAGATAACACACACTAGAATCCGATGTATGATAACAAGAATGTTGTAGTGTTGATTTGATGCTAAGAAAACTAGATATCGGTTATTATGGTTAAGAAATCCATTGGTATTTTACTCAAAATTCGAGTTTCTCACTGTCGATTATCCTTCAATTAAACTTTACGTAAAAAAGACTATAGGTAGACACATGACTTTCCACGTAAAGTAGTTTAATATGAATATATAATTCTCCCGACTGTCTAGGCATTTATACTTAAGTCAATATTTCATATCGTATTATGGTGTCAATCAAACCGATGGTTGACACATAATAACAGTTTGATGAAAAAAAATGTTTTCTCTCGCTTCATCGGAAAAAAAACTTCCAACTAGATGTACGTCAGATAGATAAGTTTACTGGTGAATAGAACTCTGTCACACTCAATCGTTTTTAAAATTGATTATTACCAATATTCATGCTCTTCTTTTTAAATACTATTTGTTTCTTTTTCATTATCAACCGAATATCACATATCAATTAAATTTATATGATGCAGAGATGAGCACAGGACAGGACGATGTAGTCGTCCTGATGTCCTCCCCAGCTGAGCGGCAGAACAGAGCAGGACGGATACGCTGGTCCTGTGTTTTTATGTGATTTTTTTTCTCTCTAACTCTTCCATGGTATCTGTTGCCGTTGATTCTATGTTATACTTATCATGAGTTATGAATATTATAATTGAAATGACAAATAGTACTAATTTCAGCATTATTCGGTAAAGATATCAGGAATGGAAGGCGATTATCTTGTGCCAGACTGGCTATATAAGAGAGAAAAACTAGTCTTGATCCAGAATGGTTAGATATAACTCTACTAGTTTCATTGTTTGAATGAGTATAAAAGAGGGTCTGGGTGTGGGTGGGTGTGGGTGTGTGAGTGTGGGTGGGTGGGTGTGGGTGTGGGGTGTGGGTGTGGGGTGGGGTGTGGGTGTGGGTGTGGGTGGGTGTGGGTGTTTCTTTTCTCTATCCACACCCACACCCACACCCACACCCACACCCACACCCACACCCACACCCAATAGGGCGAC